CCGAGATTTGGTTTGTCACTCTAGGGTTATTTTGTGTTCGCTTTGGGCTAATTAGACCGGACCTACAAGTTTAACGTGGATTACAAACTACTTACAAACATCCAAGCCACCGCCAAGATTCAAACCGGAATACCTGTGATAACAAAGTCCAGAGCGCTAGCCATTTGGCCATCAGGCCGCTTTGCCTTTCGAGAGAACTTATGTATCATAAGGAATAAAACAAGGAAATGTCGCTGGATTCCTTGTGTCACCATGTCGCTGGATTATCGATATGAGATGCTTATGTCTACACACTGTCTGAATCACCATCCAGTCTCTTCGTTTCTGTATATAAGCCGCCAGGGAATTAGAACCTGGGTCTTCCTGCACACTAGTTGTACTAATTGCATCGTCCTTTTTGCTGCTAGTTGTGTCTTCCTGCACATTAATTGCATCTTCCTTGTTGCTACTAGATGCTTCTTCCTGCTCACTAGTTGCATCTTCCTTGTTGCTGCTAGTTGTATCTTCCTGCACATTAGTTGCATCTTCCTTGTTGCTACTAGACGCTTCTTCCTGCTCACTAGTTGCATCTTCCTTTTTGCTGCTAGTTTATCTTCCTGCACATTAGCTGCATCTTCCTTGTTGCTACTAGACGCTTCTTCCTGCTCACTAGTTGCATCTTCCTTTTTGCTGCTAGTTGTATCTTCCTGCACATTAGTTGCATCTTCCTTGTTGCTACTAGACGCTTCTTCCTGCACACTAGTAGCATTTTCCTTTTTGCTGCTAGTTGTCTCTTCCTGCACATTAGCTGCATCTTCCTTGTTGCTACTAGACGCTTCTTCCTGCACATTAGTTGCATCTTCCTTTTTTATTGCTGCTAGTTGTATCTTCCTGCACATTAGTTGCATCTTCCTTGTTGCTACTAGACGCTTCTTCCTGCACACTAGTTGCATCTTCCTTTTTTTGCTGCTAGTTATATCTTCCTGCACGCTAGTTGCATCTTCCTTGTTGCTACTAGATGCTTCTTCCTGCACACTAGTTGCATCTTCCTTTTTGCTGCTAGTTGTATCTTCCTGCACATTAGTTGCATCTTCATTGTTGCTACTAGATGCTTCTTCCTGCACACTAGTTGCATCTTCCTTTTGCTGCTAGTTGTATCTTCCTTCACATTAATTGCATCTTCCTTGTTGCTACTAGATGCTTCTTCCTGCACACTAGTTGCATCTTCCTTTTGCTGCTAGTTGTATCTTCCTGCACATTAGTTGCATCTTCCTTGTTGCTACTAGACGCTTCTTCCTGCACACTAGTTGCATCTTCCTTTGTTGATACTCTTCCTTAGTTGCATCTTCCTTTTGCTGCTAGTTGTATCTTCCTGCACATTAGTTGCATCTTCCTTGTTGCTACTAGATGCTTCTTCCTGCACACTAGTTGCATCTTCCTTTTTGCTGCTAGTTGTATCTTCCTGCACATTAGTTGCATCTTCCTTGTTGCTACTAGATGCTTCTTCCTGCACACTAGTTGCATCTTCCTTTTTGCTGCTAGTTGTATCTTCCTTCACATTAATTGCATCTTCCTTGTTGCTACTAGATGCTTCTTCCTGCACACTAGTTGCATCTTCCTTTTTGCTGCTAGTTGTATCTTCCTGCACATTAGTTGCATCTTCCTTGTTGCTACTAGACGCTTCTTCCTGCACACTAGTTGCATCTTCCTTGTTGCTACTAGATGAATCTTCCTGCACAATAGTTGCATCTTCCTTTTTGCTGCTAGTTGTATCTTCCTGCACATTAGTTGCATCTTCCTTTTTGCTACTAGATGCTTCTTCCTGCACACTAGTTGCATCTTCCTTTTTGCTACTAGACGCTTCTTCCTGCACACTAGTTGCATCTTCCTTGTTGCGACTAGATGCTTCTTCCTGCACACTAGTTGCATCTTCCTTTTTGGTGCTAGTTGTATCTTCCTGCACATTAGTTGCATCTTCCTTGTTGCTACTAGATGCTTCTTCCTGCACACTAGTTGCATCTTCCTTTTTGCTGCTAGTTGTATCTTCCTTCACATTAATTGCATCTTCCTTGTTGCGACTAGATGCTTCTTCCTGCACACTAGTTGCATCTTCCTTTTTGCTGCTAGTTGTATCTTCCTACACATTAGTTGCATCTTCCTTGTTGCTACTAGACGCTTCTTCCTGCACATTAGTTGCATCTTCATTGTTGCTACTAGATGCTTCTTCCTGCACACTAGTTGCATCTTCCTTTTGCTGCTAGTTGTATCTTCCTGCACATTAGTTGCATCTTCATTGTTGCTACTAGATGCTTCTTCCTGCACACTAGTTGCATCTTCCTTTTGCTGCTAGTTGTATCTTCCTTCACATTAATTGCATCTTCCTTTGTTGCGACTAGATGCTTCTTCCTGCACACTAAAGTTGCATCTTCCTTTTTGCTGCTAGTTGTATCTTCCTGCACATTAGTTGCATCTTCCTTGTTGCTACTAGACGCTTCTTCCTGCACACTAGTTGCATCTTCCTTGTTGCTACTAGATGCTTCTTCCTGCACGCTAGTTGCATCTAGTTGTACTAGTTGAATCTTCCTTATTGTTGCTAGTTGCATCTTCCTGCACACTAGTTACATATCTAGCTTTCGATTCGGGCAAGTGATTTGTTTGAAGATATAAAGGAATCATAGTATTATTTATATTGGACGAACACACTTTCTAACCACAGGGGCTTGACGACCGAGTAGCTAGCGCTCTAGCACTCGATACCACGGAATTCGAGTTCGAATTCCGGCGATGTTTGTATTGATTCGGAATCCACTTTAAACCATTGATCCCGGTCTAATAGGAGCGTTGCGGGGTTAGTGTTACTCGCGACCGTAGCATATCTTCAAGCTACACGTGCTCCCTGGGTTGTGCTAAATGCATTTCGATCCAGGATAAATTTTTATTGTTCGTAATTTTTCTTTCCGCGTGAATATTTTTATTTACTATTTTTCATTTTTAAATCTTTTTTCCGCCCGCTTAACGTTATTCCGCCAACTTTCGACGAGCGCTTCAGCCTGCATACAACCTCTCATGTTACATGTGGTGAAGACTGCCATCTCTTTCCTTTTTAAAATATCAAGGAATGGCACTGCATAGGCTAAACTCAAAATTATTTCAAATATTTATAATAAAAAAATTTTAAATATTTACTTAAACTATTATTTTTGCATTTTTAAATTTTTAAAGATTTTTAAATACTAACAGTAATTTCTCTCCTTTTTATTTTTATACAGAGCATGTGCTCTTTTGTTAATCTTTTTCAATAGTTTTAAATTTGGTAAAATTAATAATTATTTTTAAGGGTACCGAAGCTATTCAGGTGCAGCCTTTGCTTATGGCATAAAGATCAGCTGCCTCTGTATTGCTAACTGCATTAGAACAACTTTCTAACCACAATGTTCCACTGAATGTTTCTAAAAACAAAGATAGACATAGTATAGCAGAATAAATGAAATATTATTTTTAAACCGAAGTATTCGATGGAATATCTGAACGAGCATTAGGTCAAGGTTATAGAAGTGCATTTCATGAAACTTGCAACTATCAAGTTCTTCAAAAGTAACTTCTTTTTTTTTTTTAACGAATAAGTAGAATGCATCAGTGCACTTCAATAAAAACAGGAAGTTCTAGAATTTATATTATTTTATTTTATTTTAATTTTTTTAGATACAGATATTGCAGAAAAATCTATGGACTTTTTAATTATTTTTTTATGTTTGTTGACGAATCAGATGAATTTTGTTGTAAAACGAAGAGACAGGACATTCAACTTAAAGATATTTTTTTTTTTAACTTTTAATAGATTTCATGAATTCTTGTTTCTTAGTAATTTTTTTCGTACATCTCGCAGCAATAATATTTTTATTTTATTTTATCTTATTTTATCTACTACAGAACATTTACTACAGAATTTATCTTTCTTCGAATACTTCAACGAGATTTCCTAAACTGATATGCAAAAATTCCGGTTAAAAAAGATTATAACTTCTTTAACTTAATAATCACTTTTCAAATTCCTCTGCATTTATTTTAATATTTATGATAGTATTCTATAATGTGTTATCTATTCAAAATCTTAATGTCAACAACCGTAACCGTAACCGTTATCAAATTTTCGACAACAATTTATTATTATTATTTTTTTTTTAAACTGAAAAATATAATAGAATGTAAAAAATATAATGAATGAAATAAACTTCTTTTTGATTATTTGATAATATGAGAATATCTCACCGTGTAAATATTGACTTAAAATAAATTAAGTTTTCAGTAATTATGTTTATTATAAAAATATATTCTTCTATATGAATAAAGTAATAAACGTTTATCGAAATATTTTCGCTCGAGTTAACAAATATTTGCTCAACTGTGGAAGCCATTTTAAACATCACAGATGTTTGCTACCATCTGTTTACCATCTGCTATAATTTTTTTTCTGAATCTGTATTCATATAAAATGAATGAATATGAATCATTTAAAAAAAAAGGTTCTTTCATTTTAATGTAAAAAAAATTTTGCGTAACGAAATATTAGTCATAATAGTGGCCAAATGACTTGCATGGCTTCAACAATAAGTCAAATTTAGAGGTTCATATAATATTTTCTAATATCAGAATTAGCGTATTGTGCTTGTGTTATATATCAATTTCTTCGAAATATTTTGAGGATTTCAAATAATTAATTAATTAATGTGCAGGTTTATGTGTCATTGCTTAATATCATATTACAAAACAAAAACATTTGTAAGCTCGATTGCTAAATATATTTTTTTAATATTTGTAAATTAAAAAATACATATATAATGAGTTCAAAAATACGAAATTACTTGTAACACTTGATTTGGTATGTCTTTTACTTAACGATTAACAAGTCTGATAAATAATTTTTAAAAAAATCGATTTTTCTAGCAATTATGGATAAAATTATTTGATTCTATAATGCAATCAAGAGCTCTAATAAGTTATTGTTCTTGCTACTATTTTCCCACCGAAGTCAAGCAGCACTGGGCGCGGTCAGTACTTGGGTGGGTGACCACTTGGGAACTCCGCGTGCCGTTGGCAAATTTGGGACCTGAATGGCCGAGTGTCTAGCGCTCTGGCGCTCGGTGCCACAGGTTTCGGGTTCGAATCCCGGCGGTGCCATGGACGTTTGTAGTGGTTGGGAATCCACTTTAAGCCGTAGGGCCCGGTCTCCTATGACCGTAAGAGCGTCACGGAGCAAAAGTCAGGCTTCTACCTACGGGTGCTCCATCACAACAGAAGCTGCTTCCTTCCCCTTCAATCATGAGTCCATATGGGCTCGTGGGCTTGGCCAGCCAAGTGGGATAAGAAACAACAACAACTATTTTCCAGTCTGTTTCATTTTATTACATGTTTAATCTACTAAGTTCGTTAAATCTGACTTTCAACAAATTGTTCTTTCAATTTTTTTTGCTGAAAGTGGTTCTCAGAGGTTCCAAGTTAGCACGTTATAAGCTTTATAGGTGCGCTCTGTGATATTCCAGAGAAATGTTTGTCCAGATATAAAAATACATATAGTTACTCTTTTTTCTTGTCAGTTTTTTTACTGTACAAAGACAGTTTTCATTAGAAACAAGTGAACAACTTTTCCGAAGTAACATAAATTTCCTTCTATGTAAAATAAATTTCCTTTATGTAACATAAGTATTCTTTCTTTTCGTAAATGTTTATATGCTTCATAGGAATACAATCAAATTCAATAATAATTGACTAATAAACTTCATGGCACTAAAACCCATGGTGTACCAAGGCCATCAGCCTACTGGCAGATTTCGTAACAGGAGATGTTTTCTTTTCTTACGGTTTACGGTTGCCAGCCCTACGCCAAACACTCTACAGTCATATTAGACCCGGACTTACGATTTTGGTGGATTCCAAATCATATCAAACATCAATGGCACTGCTGGGATTCGAACCCGAAACCTGTAGCACCGAGCGCCAGAGAACTAATCTTATACTTACATCAGCTCAATTTATTGTTCGAGATGGTTATAAAAACAAATCTCGTATAAATCAGAAATCGCTAATATTGATATAACTTTATTGTCCATAAAAAAGATAAATATCATGGTCCTTATATTATAAATATATCTTAAGATCTTGTTTCATTTCCGTGGTTACTTTTTTTCTTTGGGGAGAGAGAATAGAGAAAGGTTAACATTTTTATTTATTTTTTTATAAAGCAAGTATTTTTTTTCATAATCATTGTGACCTTGAACTTTTGGCGGTCGAAACTGCATAGCAAAACATTTTCATAACTGTAAGATATAAGGAGGGGAATCACTTACGATCAACTGTCGTTTGTTTAAAGTTTATTTGGCTGAGTTAAATGAATAGTTTGTTTCCTTTACAGAAAGCTGGTTCTACTTCAGAAGAATATGTGAAAAATTTGTTTTATTTTATCACAAAACTGGCTTTCAGTTGAGGCGCGGTTTTACGCGATTTATTTTAGATAACGAAATATTTCACAACTCTAATACATAATTATGAGGGTTTTGTGATTTATTTATCGATTATTTATTATTTATCGATTAATAATATTTATCGATTATTTATTATTTATCGATTAATAATATGCATCGATTATTTATTATTTATCGATTAATAATATGCATCGATTATTTATTATTTATCGATTAATAGTATGTATCGATTACTTATTATTTATCGATTATTTATTAATTATCGATTATTTATTATGTATCGATTAATAATATTTATCGATTATTTATTATTTATCGATTAATAATATTTATCGATTATTTATTATTTATCGATTAATAATATTTATCGATTATTTATTATTTATCGATTATTATTATTTATCGAATAATATTCGATTATTTATTGTATATGATTATCAATTTTTATGCCAGGACCTACATTTTTTTGCAGTTTGTACAGTTAGTAGATGTTATAAAACGTAACAGAAAACAATTTATCTTAAAAACTAACGAATAACATTAAAAAATTTTGTGCATTATAGGGAAGCAAAGACCGTTACGATTTACGACCGTTAGACCTTAACATACGTTAATTTTTTTTAACAATGAATATGATAACGTAATTTTTAGAGACGTTCAGAGTCTAGTGAGAGATTAAAACACGGTAAATGAGATGGCTCTAGCTTAATCTAAATAAAAAACCATTTACAAATCACTTCTAGCGTTGCATTTTTTAAGAACTAAAAAAAAAATACTAAAACATTTAAAAATCAATGTAACATCAAAAACAAATTCATTATATGCTTTATATAACATTATTTTTCGATATTTATTTTTACATATATGTTAATGCAGCTGGCAATACAGAGACAGTTAATCTTTATACCATAAGCTGTTACTCATTTAGCACTACCCGGGGAGGGGGGCGTGCAGCTTGAAGATATGCTATGTCATTCAGCCACTCGGACATCTGGCCTAATAAGTTAGTAAACATTACATAAACTTTCCTAGCATGATAATGAACTGTTAGCAAACTTCTATATCGAATTCAACAGATAAATATGAAAACCATATATTTAAAACCCATCTCTATTAACAACTAATAACGATTAAAAATAAAAACAATATGCTCAAGGGATAACGCCAGGTCGAATGAAGTATTGACCTGGATATATATATATATCTCCTGGATATATATATATGTCTGACCCCTGGTCTTCTTAAGTATGTGCCCCCTTGTTTCAAGAGTTAAAATATACTTATTTACTATATATATATATATATCCGTTTAATTTAAAATGAATATATCTGACATCTGGTGTCCTTAAGTATGTGTACCCCTATTTCAAGAATTAAATTCATAGTTATTTTGACTCATACCCGCTGCACTTAAGCAAGAACACGTCAAATCAGTATCAAGCACAAACAGTAACCTCTGATCCTCAAAAATCAGTAACTACTATATAATGACCGCTCCAATTGCAAGGCCGTCTACGAGGGAATCCCATTTCGCTCTCGGATCTCCACTCAGGAGAGTAAAAAAAAAATCACTCAAGAGAGCGAAGAAGACGAAAAGCGAGATCGCCTTCCATTCACTATTATCCGACCTTCAAAAAACTTGAGTGGACGAAAAACCGCAGATGCGTTTCGGATCGCAAAAAAAGCAACAAAACGTTCTGCACCGCCAGGCGACGACGTGACCTTGCCCCGCATTGCGAGTTGGAGTTCGTTTTTATTTTCTGGAGCACACCATTAAGAGGATGAGTTGGTATCCAGAGCGGGGGCTCGGAACCACCACCTGCCAGCCCTCGAATCGCTCGAGTGTGCCCTCTGTCTGGAGAGAGAGCTTTCGTTTTTTGATGATGCTCTGTCAGAACCGTTTTAGAGGTTATTGGAGAGAGACAGCTTGGTGAAGGGCAGTTTGGAAATTGTTATTACTCGTTTATTTGATTACTGTGCGAGTGCCTTTGAAATTATATTTATTTTATTATTTTTTTTTTTTAAAAATGGGTTTTGAAAGCTTTGCCCCTCTGTAATTATTGATTGGGCGGTAATGGGAGTTTTTCCCTTCATTTTGATTATTCTTCATTTTGATAATTCATTTTGATTATTCATCATTTTGATTATTCATATATTTCATTATTCATAGACTTCCCGTGGACGATGTAGATTTTAGGTCTTTATTGCTCAAGAGGAAAATGAACTTCTATATTCGAATATATAGAAATAGAACTTTTATTTCTCTTCTCTATGATGACCGAATGGCTATAGCTCTGGCGTTCGGTACCACAGGTATCGGGTTCAAATCCTGGCTCTGCCCATGGGTGTTGTAGTGGTTCGGAATCCACTTTAAGCCGTAGGTCCCGGTCCTAATAGGATCGTAGAGCGTTGCTGGGGCATTGTTACTCCGTGCCCGTGGCTTACCATCAAGCTACACGCGCCCCCTGGGTAATGCAAAGTGAGTAACATAGGTGCAGCCCTTATGGCGAAGATCACGGTCTATTTGCCAGCTGCTTTAGAAGAAAAAAAAAAATATATATATATATTCAATAGCCCACGTAAAGTACTGAAACAGAATAATAGATAGTTCAGAAAATATTACTTTGTGATTTATTTTATTCATTTATTTGTTAAACATCGATAAGGTTCATGTTATACTTATGAACCGTTCGCAGACTGATGATGAGGGAGCAGAGAGAGACAACTTGGCGAAGGGAGTTTGGAAATTTTTATTACTCGTTTATTTGCTTACTGTGCGACTGCCTTTGAAATTACATTTATTTTATTTTATTTATTTATTTATTTATTTTTTGTTTTTCAAAATGAATTTTGAAAGCTTTCTCCCCTGTGATTATTGATTGGGAGGTAATGGAGTTTTTCCCTTCATTTTGATTATTCATAAAAGTAAATTGAAATATAAGTGTTCCCGTGGACGATGCAGATTCACTATCTTTTTACACATGAGAGGAAAAAGAGCCTTTATTATTATTATTTATTTTTTTTCGGTTTCAATAGTTCGCGTCAAGTATTGCAGCAGAATAGTAGGTGATTCAGAAATTATGACTTTGTGATTTATTTTATTTATTTAGTTGTTAAATATCAATGTGGTTCATGTTATATTTGTGAACAGTTCACAGACTAACGATGAGGGACAGTGGGAAAACGGTGTGGACGGTCTTATAGTGGGAAATCGGGTTCAGTGACAAGGCTTTGAACTTCAGCAGCGAATAAAAGATATAGGAGGCATTTATAAGTGTATATAAAAACAAAATATGTCCTGGCAGAAAAAATCAAAACTTTATTAGCTGTACGAAAGCCTAACTAATTCAGCAAATTAGAAATATTTTCTTAAAATTGCGAGGATTATGTGGGAAAAATATCTGTTAAAATTCAATTTAAATAGAAATGATTATTATAATGATTATATATATATATTATATATATATATATATATATATATATATATATATATATATATATATATATATATATATTCTTTTTCTTCAATGGTGCAATAGCCCCATGGTGGGCCAAGGCCGTCTGCCTCCTAGCAGATTCCGAAATATGATATGTTTTCTCTTTTTACGGGGTAG